GTTTGTTCCACTCATCCACAACTCTATTACCAAACCAGTGCTTTCCTATATCCTTCCTAAATCTGAATTTTTCCAACCTAAAGCCATTGCTGCGAGTCTTGTCAGTGCTAGATATTTTTAGCACTCTATTTACATCCCTTTTATTCCTGTTTTCCATTTATACACCTCAGTCATATCCCCCTAAATCACCTTATCAGAGGGTGTTCAGCAGGGTGACCCACTCACTCCATTTCTCTTCTGCATGGTTGTAAAAGAACTAACCTCCAACTTGTGCAGCGAGCTCAGTATCTGGTACGTGCATGATGGCACTCTGGCATGTATGGAAGAGTCCCTGCTAGAGGACCTATAGTTGGTGAAATGACAGGGAAAAGCTTTAGGACTCATTCTTTATCTCTCCAACTGTAAAATCATCACAACAAACCAAAAAATAATTGAGGTTGTATGAACAATCCTTTCTGTAGCCTCAACTATCACCCCATCCAAGAACATTCTACTGGGAGCACCGCTGGGTCATCAGGCCATTGACACAGTCCTCAAGGACAAACGGAATGATGAGAAGAGAATAAGTGATATGGATGCAGATGGCGCCCTCAGTCTCCTCACTCCTTGAGGAGTGCACCTTCTGTCAACATTCAGTGAATATGATTCACTCCTGAGATCTATCTTTAGGAAGGCACTGAATCTGTCACTAGAAGATCACCAGTGGGATCAAGCAACTCTTCCACTGCAACTTGGAGGTACTGGGGTTTGCAAGGCAACGCAGGTAGCATTACCTGCATTTGTGAGAGGTGCGGTAGGAGCTCATGACCCAAAGTTCGTTGAAGCAGCGACCCAGTGGGACATCCTTGTGGACTCTTCAAACAGACCAGCTCCTCCCAGAGCACAAAATCGCCAACACAGTGCTGAACAACATTTCAGAAAAGACAAAGCTCGTCTCCTAGCGATTTTTTTTTTTTTTATCACTGGCCTATTCCCACCAAGGCAGGGTGGCCCGAAAAAGAAAAACTCTCACCAAGTCCGGCCTGCCGGTTTCCCTGAACCCCTTCATAAATGTTACTTTGCTCACACTCCAACAGCACGTCAAGTATTAAAAACCATTTGTCTCCATTCACTCCTATCTCCTAGCCATCCTAGCGATGAAGGCACCATATTCAGGAGACTTCCTGTAAGCTATTCCCAGTTCCTCCAAGACTGATCTAAATGTAGTCTAAATATTTTTAGCATTTGTGGATTTCCTGTGACTACTGGAGACTCACAATAGTCTTTCCCCTTGTCAGTATGGCTTTAGCAAGGGCCGCTCTACTTTGGACCCCTTGTTCCACTTAGATACGTATGTGCAAAATAACTTTGCTAACAAACACTACATCCTAGCAGTTTTGATCTTGAGGAGGCATATGACACCACTTTGAGGTATAACATTTTAGCCCAGGCTCAATCCCTAGGCCTCTGCGGTAGTCTACCAACCTTCCTTACTGTTTTCCTATCTGACAGACATTTTCGAGTCTCTGTTATCTCCACACTTTCCTCAGACTTTGTTCAAGCCAAGGGAGTCCCACAAGGTTCTCCTTAGTACTACCCTTTTTCTCTTAGCCATAAATGACTTACATTCTGTTCTTCCATTGCATATTTGGTCGTCACTTTATGTGGACGACTTTGCTATAGCTTACTCAGGCGCTGACTTTCGCTTGGTAGCAGCCTTCCTTCAGGATGCGATTGACCGAGTTTCCCACTGGACCACTTCTCATGGCTTTAAATTTTCTAATACGAAAACCCGTTTCATTACCTTCACTAGACCTCCTTTTATCCCAGATATTCCATTGTATTTACACGGGTCACGTATCCCAGAATGTGATACGGTCAAGTTTCTTGGGCTCTTCGATCGCCGGTTGACATGGAAACCTCACATTTCCTCTTTGAAGGCAACTTTCCATGGTCGGCTGAATCTCCCTAAAATTCCTGCACATCGTTCATGGGGAGCAGAGTTCCTCTGTTTGCATTCCACCCTAGTCTTTCCCAAGCTGGATTATGGCGACCAAGTCTATTCTGTGGCTTCTCCTACAACTTTGCAAAAGCCTTCGACAAGTGTGACCATGGCGTAATAGCGCACAAAATGCGTGCTAAAGGAATAACAGGAAAAGTCGGTCGATGGATCTATAATTTCCTAACTAACAGAACACAGAGAGTAGTCGTCAACAGAGTAAAGTCCGAGGCAGCTACGGTGAAAAGCTCTGTTCCACAAGGCACAGTACTCGCTCCCATCTTGTTCTTCATCCTCATATCCGACATAGACAAGGATGTCAGCCACAGCACCGTGTCTTCCTTTGCAGATGACACCCGAATCTGCATGACAGTGTCTTCCATTGCAGACACTGCAAGGCTCCAGGCGGACATCAACCGAATCTTTCAGTGGGCTGCAGAAAACAATATGAAGTTCAACGATGAGAAATTTCAATTACTCAGATATGGTAAACACGAGGAAATTAAATCTTCATCAGAGTACAAAACAAATTCTGGCCATAAAATAGAGCGAAACACCAACGTCAAAGACCTGGGAGTGATCATGTCGGAGGATCTCACCTTCAAGGACCATAACATTGTATCAATCGCATCTGCTAGAAAAATGACTGGATGGATAATGAGAACCTTCAAAACTAGGGAGGCCAAGCCCATGATGACACTCTTCAGGTCACTTGGTCTATCTAGGCTGGAATATTGCTGCACACTAACAGCACCTTTCAAGGCAGGTGAAATTGCCGACCTAGAAAATGTACAGAGAACCTTCACGGCGCGCATAACGGAAATAAAACACCTCAATTACTGGGAGCGCTTGAGGTTCCTAAACCTGTATTCCCTGGAACGCAGGCGGGAGAGATACATGATTATATACACCTGGAAAATCCTAGAGGGACTAGTACCGAACTTGCACACGAAAATCACTCACTACGAAAGCAAAAGACTTGGCAGACGATGCAACATCCCCCCAATGAAAAGCAGGGGTGTCACTAGCACGTTAAGAGACCATACAGTAAGTGTCAGGGGCCCGAGACTGTTCAACTGCCTCCCAGCATACATAAGGGGGATTACCAACAGACCCCTGGCAGTCTTCAAGCTGGCACTGGACAAGCACCTAAAGTCGGTTCCTGACCAGCCGGGCTGTGGCTCGTACGTTGGTTTGCGTGCAGCCAGCAGCAACAGCCTGGTTGATCAGGCTCTGATCCACCAGGAGGCCTGGTCACAGACCGGGCCGCGGGGGCGTTGACCCCCGGAACTCTCTCCAGGTAAACTCCAGGTAAACAACTCTTTCTAAGTTAGATCCCCTTCATCAAGGTCTGCGTTTATTCATTGGTGCCTTTCGCTCACCCCCTGTTGAAAGCCTCTACGCAGAGGCAATGTTCCTTAGCTGATCGTCGTGATGCTCATTGTCTTTGTTACTTTGTCCGCGCTCATGACCATGTTTCTTCAATGTATAGGTTGGTCTCTGACGTTAGTAAAAGCCCATTGTTTGTTCAACGCCACTGCCTACTCCGACTGTTTTCTCTTCAACTTCACTCACTCCGGTCTTCTGTCCAGTTGCCTCTCTTATGTTCATTTAGCATCTGCCTTTTCCCTTTCTCCTTGGGAAGTTCCGACGTGTCTGTTCTCCCCTACTTCCGTGCGCCGAAGCTCTCCTACCTATGACTATGTCAGTTTTTTTCTCGGTCTCTTCCGGTCACTTGCTCATGTCATCACTGTTTATACAGATGGTGCTAAATCTTCGCAGCAGTATTCCCTGACGATGTTGTCTGAGGTCATTTGTTAGACTCGGCTAGTGTTTTTACTGCCGAGTTGTATGCCATCCTCATAGCGCTTCTTCTTTATATTACATTTATGTCGCCTTCGACGTTTGTGATCATCTCAGATTCTCTCAGTGCTTTGCAAGCCATTAAACAGTTTGATTCCCCTCATCCATTTGTCCTTCGTATTCAACTATGGTTGCACCGTGTGGCTAGCAAAAACAAAGTTGTTGTTTTCTGTTGGGTTCCTGGACACGTTGATGTGCAGGGCAATGAGCAAGTGGATGCTGTTGTGCGGTCAGCAGTGCACGATCTTCTGGTTTTCTATAGAGATATTTCATTCAGAGATTATTATCCAGTCGTCTCGGCCTGTCTTTGCAGCCTTTGACAACAATAGTGGTCGGGCATGCACCATAACAAATTGCACTCCATTAAACTGCTTTTAGGTTTGTGACCCTCTTCTTACCACCGTTGCCGTACTAGGGAGACTGCTCTACCCCAGCTGCGCATCGGCCATACTCGTCTTACCCATGGGTATCTCATGGAACGACACCCTATTCCTCTTTATGGGGTTTGTCGGGTCCCTATTTCGGTTCTTCACTTTCTTGTCAATTGCCTGGCTCACCAGTGAGCTCGCAGGATTTACCTCTAACTCTGCCGCCACCCTACCACTCTTACCTTATCTTCCCTTCTTGCAGACGGTCCTGCCTTTGACTTACAATCACTTTCTGACTTTTTGTCAGCAACTGCTTTACTGTACGAACTTTGACAGCCCTTAGCATCCCTTTCAGCCCTTTTCTTCCCTCACTTCATATCCCCTCTCCACCTACCTGTTTATACCCTCAGCACCATTTTCTGCCCCACAGTGCTGTATGATCCTTGTTGGTTTAACGCTTTCTTTGATTATTATAATAATCCTGTGACTACTTTCTCGTTACATAATTATGAAAGTAAAAATCCAGACAGGAGATCTGTCATTTCATGAATTCAGACAATAATGTACTGGAAGCTCTGCAGTAGTTGTGAGTGGATAATACATTAATTTTTAACTAGAATGGTTTTCTTCAATTACATTATCTAGACAGAATAAAACGGGAGCAAGTAATCCTACGAAGAAAAGTCAGTAGCAGTGTTTATGGTTCATAGACACACCCTGAAGGAACTTTGTGATACAAAATTACAATAAAAATTAATAACAATATTTAGAACATTTTCCGTCCTTAACAGGTGATAGACACTAACTCAACCTCGCTGGTGACTCCACGCTTGATGCGCGCCCACGACTGCCACGCCAACAAGTACTACGAAGACTACACCTGCACGCCCGCTTCCTGCCTCAACGGGGGCCGCTGCCTAAAAACGGACGTCGGCAACAGGTACTTAAACCATTAATTTTGTTTTGAATTAGCAAAACTCGTGATAGGCATAACTTGTTAAGATAACAAGACAAATGTAAGATTTTCTGTTGTACCTCACAAATATGCGTACTGTTTTTCATTATAATATACATATAAAGTACATACAAATTGCAGCCATTACAATTAAATTTTTGCACAGTACGGAATAAGTCACAATACCGTGGCTGAAACAAGTCACTTTTAACCAGAAATTTGAGGATGAAGCTTTAAATAGAGTTTGCTTGTCCCTGACCATTATCAACTGTTCTGTTCGTTGACTCAAATAAGACTTTGGAAGCAATTACGTTGAAGGAAAATTTAGAAAAAATAAATCAATATGATTCGAATAAGTAGATAATGAAGATGGATAATGGAAAGTATGGAAAATAAATATTGAGACATTTCGCACAGACAGGTTTTTTCATTGTGTGTACAGGTGGCCTGGTGGTTAACGCTCTCGCTTCACACGGTGAGGGCCTGGGTTCGATTCCCAGCCAGAGTAGAAACATTGGACGTGTTTCTTTCCACCTGTTGTCTATGTTCCCCATCAGTAAAATGGGGTACCTGGGTGTTAGTCGACTGGTGTGGGTCGCATCCTGGGACAATGACCTAAGGAGGCCTGGTCACAGACCGGGCCGCGGGGGCGTTGACCCCCGGAACTCTCTCCAGATAAACTCTCTCCAGATAAACAGGGATACACAAGCAAACTTATACAAGCGTAGTCAGATAAGCGGCCTCTTCATCTGAGTTGCAGCCAAGTAAGTTGAATTATTACATCTCAAACTAAGGCCGGAAGACAAGGACCTGCCTGTACCTTGCCAGGATTTCGTGAAATTAACTGAACTCTGTATTAACCTAATTGCCTTTCGGTCGGCAATTCTTTTTACAGGAAAAATTCTGCATGAACACGGGCTCTCCAGTCAGTACTTTTCTGGTGAATCTGTGTATAGAATTACTTAAGGCCAAAAGATTTACCAACATAATGTCCAAAATTGTCACAAGGCTTCGCTATGTTGTAGAAATTATGCTTATCACCTACAACAGCCTCAAAATAGACAACATCAAGGAAAGCTTTAACAGTGTGGAACCGTCCATTCAGTTCACCCTAGAAGTGCAAGCTATTGACATCCTTCCATCCCTCGACGTACTTATCATTAAACAAGAACTACCTCAAATTCAGAGTATACTGTAAACCTACCAATAAGAATGATACTATTTAGGAATCGTACAGGAGACAAGAAACTCAGGAAGAACTTAAAGCCATAAATGAAATTCAAAGAAACCCAAAATATTTCTTTCCTTACGCCAAATCTAAGGCAAAAACAACATCCAAGTATTTGACTACTGCTTAGGCGAAATGGGACTCAGATGACAGCAAAGAAATGAGAGAGATACTAAAGTCCCAGTATGACTCGGTGTTTAGTAAGCTGTTAACTGGAGTAAGAGTCGAAAATCTAAACGAATTTTTTATGACCGAAACTCAAAATTTGGTCCATCCAAATATCTCCGATATTATCCCAACACCAAAAGAATTAAAAAAAAAAAAATAAATGACATGTCCATCCACTCAGCCCCATGCCTAGACTCATGGAACCCCATGTTCATCAAGAACTGCAAGAAGTTCCAAAATCACTGAAAACAACAGACATAGCCACATTCCACAAAGGGGGACTTGAAGCAGTTGCAAAGAAATACAATCCGGTACCACGAACGTCCCATATAAAAATCTTTGAAAGGGTTCTAAGAAGCAAGATTGCCACCCACTTAGATACCCATCAGTTACACAACCCAGGGCAACATGGGCTTGGGCTAGGCTGCTCCTGCTCCTGCTACTGGACCACTATGACAAGATCTTTGATGCACTGGAGGGCAAACAAAATGCAGATGTAGTATACACAGACTGCGAAGGCCGTTGACAACTGCGACCACTGTGTAATAGTGCACAAAATGCACGATAAAGGAATAACAGGAAAAGTTGGTAAATGGATCTCTAACTTCCTAACAAATAGAACACAAAGAGTAAACAGTGTAAAGTCTGAGGCGGCTACAGTGAAAAGCTCTGTTCTACAAGGCACAGTACTCGTCCCCATCCTGTTCCTTATCCTCATATCTGACATAGAGACAAAAGCCACAGCACCGTGTCTTCCTTTGCGGATGACACCTGAAGTTGCATGATGTCATCCATCGAAGACACGACAAGACTCCAAGCGGACATCAACTAAATCTTTACTTGGTTCGTGGAAAACAATATGAAGTTCAGTGAAGAGAAACTTCAGTTACTCAGGTATGAAAAAATCGAGGAAATTAAAACTATCGGAGTATAAAACAAATTCCAGTCACACAGTAGAGCCAAAAACTAATGTGAAGAACCTTGTAGGGGTAATGTCAGATCATCTCACTTTCCAAGATCACAGCATGTATCTAACACATCTGCTACAAAACTAGGGATGCCAGTCCCATCATGATTCTCTTCAAATCGCTTGTTCTCTCTAGGTTGGAATATTGCTGTACACTAATGGCCTCTTTCAAGGCAGGCGAAATTGGTGACCTGGAAAATGTACAGAGAACTTTCACAGCACGCATAAGTACGATACAGCACTTAGATTACTGGAGAAGGTTTAAGTCCCTTTATTTATTCCCAGGAATGCAGGCAAGAAACATACATGATAATGTACATTTGGAAAATTCTAGAGAGACTAGTCCCAAATTTGCTCACGAAAATCGCTCCATACGAAAGCAAAAAACTCGGCAGGAGATGCAACATCCCCCAGTGAAAAGCAGGGCGTCACGAGTACACAAAGTACACGAGTACACAGTGAGTATCAGGGGCCCAAGACTGTTCAACTGCCTCCCAGCATACAGGGCGATTACAAATAGACCCCTGACTGTCTTTAAGAAGGTGCTAGACAGGCACCTAAAGTCAGTTCCTGACCAGCCGGGCTGTGGTTCGTACGTCGGTTTGCGGGCGGCCAGCAGTAACAGCCTGGTTCATCAGGATCTGATCCACCACTAGGCCTGGTCACAGACTTGGCTGAAAGGGCGTTGATCCCCGAAACCCTCTCCAGGTATACTTTAGGTACAATGTTCGAACCATGACCAAAGAGCCCAATGATATGTGCACTCATTGGTATGCCTTAACGTTCCTACAGGATGTGCAGCCTAGAATATCTGGAGGATGTGTTCAACATTAAATATCTTCTGGTCGGTAAAAAATGTTCTCACACATCATCTGGGACTGCAGAGATCGTACTTACAAATCTATCACTTAACCAAAACCGGACAGAAGACTATTCGTACAGGCCACTCCACATGATACATTACCTGGAGGTTATCCGGTGGATCAGGGCCTGATCAACCAGGCTGTTACTGCTGGCCGCACGCAGTCCAACATACGAGCCACAGCCCGGCTGATCCGGCACTGACTTTAGGTATCTGTCCAGCTCTCTCTTGAAGGCAGCCAGGGGTTTATTGACAATTCCCCTAATGCTTGATGGGAGGCTGTTGAACAGTCTTGGGCCCCGGACACTTATGGTGTTTTCCCTTAGTGTACCAATGGCGCCCCTACTTTTAATTGGGGGCATTTTGCACCGCCTGCCCAGTCTTTTGCTTTCGTAGGGAGTGATTTCTGTGTGCAGATTTGGGACCATTCCTTCCAGGATTTTCCAAGTGTAGATTATGATATATCTCTCCCTCCTGCGTTCCAACGAGTACAAGTCAAGTGCTTCCAAGCGTTCCCAGTAGTTAAGGTGCTTGACAGGATCTCTGTACACTCTCTAGATCTGCAATTTCACCTGCTTTGAATGGAGATGTTAATGTACAGCAATATTCCAGCCTAGAGAGAACAAGTGATTTGAAAAGGATCATCATTGGCTTGGCATCTCTCGTTTTGAACGTTCTCATTATCCATCCTATCATTTTCATTGCACTTGCGATCGTGGCACTGTTGTTATCCTTGAAAGTGAGATCCTCAGACATTACTACTCCCAGGTCCCTTACATTATTTTTCCGCTCTATTGTATGGCCAGAGTCTGTAGTATACTCTGTTCTAGTTATTATCTCCTCCAGTTTTCCGTAACGGAGTAGTTGGAATTTGTCCTCATTGAACATCATATTGTTTACCGTTGCCCACTGGAAAACTGTTCATATCTTCTTGGAGGTTAACCGCGTCCTCAGCAGATGGCAGCCTCATGCAGATCCTAGTGTCATCCGCAAAGGATGATACGGTTAAAACCCACTCTCGACATAAGCACCATAGTTATTGCCCCATCAAAGACTTAACAAGGCAAGGAAAAGCTACCACGAGGACTACAACAGTGCAAGTATCAACATCATTCCATGTTTCGATTATGATCAGAAATACACAGGAAAGACTTATTGTAGCCTGCAGATCAGGTTGCAAGAACACCAGTGTTACTGAAGACTCGCGTGAATATCGCCTGGATGATACTTAAGAACCAGACCGCACACCTGATGTCTGGAAGGACTCCCAGATGGTCATAAAAGAAATACGCAATACACGACACAAATGCCTGTAACCTGCTCTGATCTGTACACAAAATAATATCCAACAGAATCAAATAGCTTATTGTTAAAACAAAAAAAAAACTGTAACCCAACTCGGAGACCTCACTGACCCGGCCACTCGCCTAACTATGCTTAAATGAACTTGCTTGTTGTGCATCCCTGTCTATTGACTGAAGAAGTCTGTCCACAGGAAAAATGCAGTTGTGTCTCTTTCAGCAAATGTCGGTTTTTGCGTCATTTGTATCGAAGTAAATTTATTAGATAAATGGACACATGTGCAACTAATGCGACATTTTATTGTGGCAACATTTCGCTCTCTAGGAGCTTTGTCAAGCCGTTACAAACAATACAAAGACACAGGGGATTACATATAGGTATTAGAGCGAGATGCAAAGCATAATCGTAGTAGTAATACTAATAGCAGTAGTACTTGTGGTGGTGGTAGTAGTAGTAGT